CATAAATACCTAATTAATACTCCTGGGCCAAATGTGGTCCTGTTAGGGGAAGACGTTTCCAGACAGCATTTCTTCGTTCTTCATTGTTTTCATCGGGAGAAACTCTAGTAAAACTTGGCTGGGTGGTATCAGCCAGAGGTTGGGGGTGCTGAGGGCCAGTAGGGCCACACCCAGTGTGGCTTTAGGGAGGGGATGTGCGGTGCAGGGTTCAAACTCGGAGTCCTGTCCCCCTGCCTCTCCTGACAGCAAGCTCAAAAATTGGCTTTGGAGCCAGAGTGGGAGTGCAGGGAGAGATAGGAGAGATAGTTCCCTTGCCTTGCACATAGCCAACCCCAGTTCAATGTTTGGCATTCGGTCCCTCCAAGCCCTGCCACGAGAGATCCTAAGCACAGATCCAGGAGTATGCCCTGAGCACCTCTGGGTATGGCCCCAAATATCCCCTCAACAAAATTTAAAAAAAAATAAACAAATAAGTTGACTGACCTTAACAACTCTTGCTTCTAAAATGCTGGGTCAGCTTGCTCCCAGCCATCATTAGCTGCTGGACTCAGTCATAGAGGCTGCTCAGGGCTCTGTAGAATCAGAAAAGTGAGGAAGAGACCTGGGAGGGAGGTATATGTCACATGCTGTAGGCACCTGGGGACGCAGACACGCAGACGTAGGTCTCTGGTCCTTGGCTGGCCTGGGGGCTGGGAGGACCTTCCCTGTAGGAGAGGCGCAGAGATACAGCAGCCTGTCTCCTGCCTGTTTGTGCTGTAGAGGAATGTGGCTTAGCTGTCTGCACTCCCAGTTTTATGAGTGGGGGTGGGGACATACTGGGAGAACCCCATAAAGCAGAGCTGGAGGGACAGACTGAACTCAGCTACCAGCCAAGGGAACCTTTTAATTAGTTTCCTGGCTACTATTTTAATTGATAACAATTAAGAAATAAAAAGGTACTGGGGGCTACTTCAGAAAACAGTTTCTTCATAATGGCTCAGAACCAAAAGAGAGAATCGGGACTTCTAGTTGCTACATCTCACAATTGCCAAGAAATAAAGATCAGATTCTTTGAGGGTGGACCCTCCCCCAAAACACACATTGCCCCCCAGATGTTTACCAAACACCCCTCCACATATACACGCCACTTTTCATTCTCTCTGCAGGATGCCTTAGGGCAGAGAGTAAATAAAATCTAGAACAAACCCCTGGGCTCTGCTGCCCTGTTGTGGAGACAGGCTTTCCAGAGACTGCAGTAGGACAGGCCCTGGCTGACGCAGGGGATCCCCAGATGCTGTCAGTGAGAGGAGAGTGTGTATAAGGACACTTCCTATGTCGAACTGGGAAGGCGGGGAAAGGAAGGTCAAGAGGGGCTCTGATTGTGGGCAGACTCTTATCTGCTGGGTGCCATCTGGCCCAGTGTGATAAAGCTCTTTATCTCTGCCATCTGGTCTTCAAGTTCTTCAGCATTTAATGTGGAGACTGTGACCGGAGGGAAATGCAGTGGCCTCCTTCAAACATCCACCCTGTCAAATTCAGGTTACGCTTGGCTGTGCACTCACTCTTCGTAAGTGAGGCCTTGAGTTTGATCCCAGCACCATCACCGAAATAGATAGGTATTATTGGCATCTCCTCATTTTTTTTTCTCTCTAAAAGACAATAAAATAGACCCTGGCACAATTAAGAGGGAGGACATTTTGGTGGAGTTGGAACCTTGGGTACATGAAATCCTGTCATCAACAGTATTGCAAACTACAGTGCCTCAAACAAAAGCATCAAAATAACTTTAAAGAATTCCCTTGAAGGAGTGATAGAGGGGTAATTTCTGAGCACAGCTGGGTGTGCCCCCCCCACAAAATCCCTTATATTCCAGGGAAAACAGGGGTTTGGAGGACTGGTCAATGGTTGAAACTAACCACAAATGTGTGGGACTGAAGGTAGGTAAGATAGAGAAGAGACCAGTATGACAATAATAGAGGGGAATGATCACAGAGGATAAGATCTGAGGGTTAAAAGTAGGTAAGGGATATTCTGGATAACCTTTCAGTATCAATATTGCAAGCCACAATGCCCAAAAGGAGAGGGATGGGAGGGGGAGGGAGGGAGAGAAAGAAAGAGGGAGGGAGGGAGAGAGAGAGAGAGAGAGAGAGAGAGAGAGAGAGAGAGAGAGAGAGAGAGAGAGAGAGAAGAAAAGCGCCTGTCATCTTGCCATAGAGGCTAGAGGAAGGCAGGAGATTATTGGGGGTGATGGGAAGAAATCTGGGGACACTAGTGCTGGGAAATGTACACTGGTGGAGGAATGGATGCCGGAATACTGTATGACTGAAATCCATTCATGAAAGCTTTGTAATGGTCTATCTCAGTGATTCAATAAAAAAAAAAAAAGTTTAAAAAAAATTCCCTTGAAGGGGTCAGAGAGCTAGTACAGTGAGTAGGGTGCTTGTCTTACATGAAGCTAAGCCAGGTTCAATTTCTGGTACCCCTTAGGGTCCCCCTGTTTGCCCCACCAGGAGTGATCCCTGAGTTCAGATCCAGGAGCTAGCATGACTAAATGTGGCCCCCAAAACAAAACAAAACAAAAAATTTCTTGGGCATCACTCAGTGGCAAAAAGCACGTGCTTTGCAAGCTGAGTGCCACACTCAGGGCTGAGTGTGGTCCTGGCAGCGTTGCTGTTTGGGATCTTCAGTATCACTCCTGAAGGATGTGCGGGCCCGAGACTGTAAGTGTGACCTTCCACAAAGTGTGTGACCACCACAGCGAGAGTACACAGGCACTGCTACACATGCATGCAGCCAGGTCATCACTGCAACAACACCAGGGAAGGAGAAATTACTTGGTTTTAAAATTTCCTTGGGGTAGGAATGTAGAGAGTGACCGACCCAGGTTCACTCTCCAGCAGTTCAGTCCTGAGTCTGCCAGAAATGATACCTGAGTGCCGAGCTAGGAGTAAGTCCTGAGCACTGCCAGGTGTGGGCCCAAACCAAAAGAAATTAAAAATAAAATAAAAAGTCCCTGAGAAGGACTTTAAATGTGGCTCGGTGGTAGAGCACATGTTTGAATGTGTGAGATGCCCTGAGTTATTGGGACATTGAAAAAAAAAAACAGTCCCTTGGCCTGATGATTGGTTAGTTACTGTTGATGAGAAGACATGTGGTTATTTTGTAAGTCCATCAAATTTTGGAGCCAGAGGTAACATAGGGCACTTGCCTTGCATGTGACGACTCTGGTTCAATCCCTTGCACCACATGGTCCTCAGGAGCAACCCCCAACCACAGAGCCAGAAATATCCCACAAACATTATTTATTAGGTATGACCTAATACCCTCCCCCAACAAAAGTTCATAAAGTCTAATTGAGGTCCAAGGCAAGGGGCACCCCAGAGAGTCTGAACAACAGCATAAAAAAAGAACAGATCACTCTTCGTCAGAAAAGTCCTATTCTGTGAGAATTATTTGAGATTGGGTAGAGTTGGGTTTGGACCAAATAGACCCACACCTGCCCCCTTACTTACACACACACACACACACACACACACACACACACACACACAAGCTGAATAGCTGAATAGAGCTGATTTCTCTCTGATTATTTTAGGCATTATTTTAGGAAACAATTTCTCATAAATTTTTATTTTTCACTTTACAAGAAAATAAACTTAGAACTCTATCTGTATCCCCTAGTATTTGTGGTGAATCTGTGCCAATATTTCTGCACACAGTCATCGGAGGGACCCTGTGACGTCGTGGTCTAAATTTTCACTCACTACATTATTGTCTTTGTATTTCCATGAGTGGGGAGTTGAGTCATGGGCTGAACTGAAAGTGCCACCGGGTGCTGTTCTGATTTGTTCCCACCCTTGGCTGTCCTTCACGGCTGCACTTGGAGAATCAGACTTAGAGGGATGCAGTAATAGCCGCATTCCACCCCTGGGCACCTTTTCTTAGGTACCATGTTGTCTGAGCCAGCAGAAGCATGCTTTAGCTCCCAGACTGTTTCAAGAGTTCAGACAGTTTAGACCAGCAGAAATTAAATTAGCTGAAAAGTCTTGGCTGCTTACAAACTTTATAACAGGTCACAGTTTTAAAGTCCAAAAGGGCTCAGATTTCTATCCCGTTTGACATCTCAGACCTCATTCCAGATGAGAACAAGTTGTGCAGACTTCCCTGCAGCCCCGGACACAGACGTGATTTGAAGGCCTTTGGCAGCCCAGCACCACGGAGGGGTTTGGGGGTGGAGACCTGCGCCAGGCTGGCACCTGTATCCTCAGTGCTCTTCGCCCCAGCACTCTCGGCAAGCATGAGAGGTGACTTTGCCTGCCCACTGCTGCAAATGGCAAATGGATTAGCAACAGGAGTTGCTGGAGAGGGGAGCAGGAATGGTGAGCAGCGTTACCGCTGACAGCCAGAGGAGCTGTGGGGACGTATAAGGAACACAGGAAGGTGAAACACATGTGCTCTGGAAACAGCTGGAAGCTGCTAGAACCTGCCCAGCAATTTCTAAGATCTGGGCTGCAGAAAGAGTGAAGAAATTCCATAGCTCAAAAATCTAGGGGTGCTTCCAAAAGGGTGGCCTCCCCCCTCTATCTTTTGCATTTTCCTCTTTAAAAAGTGATCGCTACAGCTGAAGTGATGATCTACTTGCAGACAGAAGCAGGACAGAGTCAGTGCTCTGGGAAACTTTATGGAAGCTTTTCTTCCATTCTGAGTTACTGCTAATTTCCAGGGTGAGAGTCTAGTGTCTTAAAGTGAAGTAAATGCTTTGTTCTTAAATAAACCCTGCACAAAATCTTGGTGATTAGTGCCTATTTGTGTTTGTTTGTTTGATTTGTTTTCCCCTTTGAAAATTACTTGATTATGATTTGATATCTTGTATAAGCTGTACTGATGTAGTTGAATTCATTGACTCTCATAGAAAATGTCTCACTTTTACTGGATCAGTGTGAAACCCTATGAATGCAGGAAAGGTGTCTGATAAGTAAGTACTGAAGTCAACTAAGATGCCTCTCTGTGTGTCTTTCCAGCAGGGCTGTGATCTCATCGATACCCAGCTACAAAGAGCCACAGAACTTAGTTCCGGTCCTCAGCAGATGGGCATCAGCAGCACCTACTAGCCAGCAAGATGGAGACCACGCCCCTAAGTTCCCAGAAGGAGCCGGCCGTGGGCATGGATGGAGATGATTGTCAGGAGAACGGAGTTCTACAGAAGGGTGTCCCTGGCCCTGGGGACAAGGCAGAGCCAGGCCAAATCTCCAATGGTTACTCAGCGGTTCCCAGCCCGGGTGCAGGAGATGGCGTTCAGCACTCTGCCCCCACGGCCACCACTGCCCTAGTGGCTGAGTCTCAGCCTGGGGAGCGGGAGACATGGGGCAAGAAGGTGGATTTCCTCCTCTCAGTTATTGGCTACGCCGTGGACCTGGGCAACGTCTGGCGCTTTCCCTACATCTGTTACCAGAATGGAGGGGGTCAGTACCATGGGCTATGAGGGGAGGCCTGTGGACCCTTTTGGAAAGCCAGAGGATCAATCAGTGCTATCTGTTTTGTTTGACTGATGCATTTCTAAACACAACTGCTTACTTTCGAGATATCTAAGAAGAAGCAGATTCCCCAGTACCCCAAACTTGAAGTTAGCATGTTTGATGCTCTCTGGGTTATGAAGCACCTTCTGTGTAGAAGGGTCCAGAGGGTTTAGCTCTACTTGAGGAAAACTGGGAGGTAATTCCAGGGTCCCAGAGCTGGGCTTGGCACACAGGGCCTTTGGACTCTGTGTGAGGTCCCAGATGGGTGTCAGCTCAGGTCCAGAGTCTTAAATTATCAATCTGGATAGGGTCCAGGACTGAGCCCAGGTGTGGTAGGGCATTAATGCCAACCCTTATCCTCACAGGGATGTATGTTATATTCCTTACAAGAGTGTCCAGGTTTTGAGGTCAGAGACTATTTCTCTGTGTGTGGAGGGGGCCAGGGGGATATGAAGGGGTGGAGGGGGGCGGAGTACAGGTCTTTTACATGCGAAGCATGCCCTGAGACACATCTCTAGCCCTGGGGCCGTCTCTTGCTCCTGCTTCTGCCCCTAGTTCCTTGAGAGCAGTTTGCTTATAAATTATCAAAGAGAGCAGGTTCCTGTAGGCATAGAAGCCCAGGGAGAGTGGAGCAGGGGATAGACTGGTGTGGCATCTCTTATTCAGACTAGACTTGCTATCTGAATAGGAAAAGGAAGAGAAATGAGAATCAGTTCAGTTCATATTTAAAACAACAGGTGCTTCGGCAACCGATTTTATAGAGCTGCTAGTCACAATCCATTTGTGTCACCTTCTTTTCCTTGGTGGCCTGGCACAGAGTTCGCTGAATTTACTGCATCTCCAAAGGCATTTGTGCCATGGGACTTTGAGGACGCTGTTTCCTGCCTGGAAGGAGGGGAAAGTTGGAGGCTCCTATCTCCTGCCTGGGAGGATCACCTTTAGCCTGTATTCTCGACGAGGTGCCGGGTGCCCTGGGAAGTTTCCCGCACCACCCCCCCACCCCCCACTGGAAAGCCAGCCACATCAAGGCATTTTGGGAGAACAGCACCATGAAAACACAACCTAGTTTTCTTTCAGCCAGACTTACCTGCTTAGCTGTTCTGAGGGTCTGTAACTTAATGTTTCTGGGTTTAGGGCCAAAGCATAGTACACATAGTACAGTGGGTAGGGTGTTTGTCTTGTCCTCGACCAAACCTGGCATCCCATATAGTCCCCCAAGTACCATCAGGTATAATTCCTGAGTGCAAAGCCAGGAGTAACCCTGAGCACAAGTGGCTGTGCTGTTCCCCTCTCCCCCCTGCCCTGAAAAAAAGGTGTTTGGTTTTAGAGCCCTTGATGGAAGGGAGTGTGATTAGGCAACAGTCACAGCTGTTGCATTTTTACGATGAAACTTGGGTTGCTAAGGAGCAATCCCCAACCTGACATTTTCCAATTCAGCCAGGAGACACTAGCACCTTCCTGCACACCGCAGCTCAGAGGGTTTGTGTCTGTCACCAGCTACCCTTTTCAGCCACACCTGAGGGGCGGGGGGAAGGTCCTGACTTGGTGGAATTGTGGGAATATAACCTGACATCAATGATCAAGTGTCTGCAGGCAGGGCTAATACAGAAGAACAAAGATCCGAGTTCAGTGACTAGTGGATTGTCTTAGCTGTTGTACAGTTTGTCATAGGAAGTCTCTTCCGGGGTCCCAAATGTGGATCCAGGTATTGGGTGCATAAGAATCATCTGGGGGGAAAAAAGAATCATCTGGGGAGAGCCAGGAAGGTTGGTTTTACACCCTTACCTGGAGCTTCTGCTTCAGGGGGGGTTGCCTGTGTGTGTGTGTGTGTGTGTGTGTGTGTGTGTGTGTGTGTGTGTGTGTGTTGAGGGAAGCCTACCAAATGGTGCTAAAGAGGTGGTCTGGGGAGTTCCACCAGCAATTCTCTGCTACACAGATTGGTCCAGTGCAAGGGCCTGAGAAGGCAATACTCCACGGGTTCTGCAGTGTTGAGGGTATCTGGACCACCCCAGTACCAGTGGGGACCCCCAGGGCCACAGAGATGCATCCAGGGATGCACCCGGCAATGCTCAGGGTACCCTGTGGTGCCAGGATTCACACATGAACCCTAACCACTGAACAATCTCCCAGCCCACTGAGTGTGGTTTTAAGCTCAGCAGAGACAGTCTGGGAAACTCTGACATGTGAGAGGGAATGATCTGAAGTCCAGGGCCTCAGCTGGTTCGGGGCCTGACCTGTGACCCCCCCAGGCGCACTTCCTTCCCACTTGCTCCCTGCCTCCCACCCCAGCTTGCTTCCTCGGCACCCTCCACCCACTGCATAAAGCCCAGGGGTGCATGTGTGAGGTCACTCACTGCTGGCTGACTCTGCAACACGAGCTCCGGTTCTTGGTTGTCCCTGGGATCCTCATGTGTTGGGCTGTTCCAGAAATCTGTCCTGTGTCCACAGACAGTGCAAATGTCTTTCATCTACCTCAGGTGCCTTCCTCCTCCCTTACACCATCATGGCCATTTTTGGAGGAATCCCTCTCTTCTACATGGAGCTTGCACTGGGCCAGTATCATCGAAATGGCTGCATTTCCGTATGGAAGAAAATCTGCCCCATCTTCAAAGGTATCTTACAGGTTTGGGGTGGGAGGGGGTCCTCCAAGGCTGCGTGATTTCTCTCAGTCCTGGGATCTGAGGCCTTCTGCAATCAGGCCTGAAGGGGAGCTCATGGAAGTCTGCTTTTGACTCTTCAAGTGGCATAGATTGTTGCAGGGAAATAATAGATAGGAGTTAGAGATAAGCTACAGCACATAGAAAACATTTATTTTATTTCTGGGGGCACCAGAACAATACTCAGTAGTGCTTGAGGTGGGGTTGTTAAACCTGAGGCTCTGCATGGTCATATGCCCAGGACTTTGTGTTGTTTCCGTGACCCCTCTGCTCTCTACTTTTATTTATTTATTTGGTGGGGGGTGGGGGGTGTCACACATGGCTGTGCTCGGGGCTTACTCCTAGTCCTGAGCTCAGGCAGGACTCCTGGCAGGATTGGGGAACCATATGGATTGAACCCAGGTTGGCCATGTGCAAGGGAAACACCCTACCCACTGTACCATCTGTCCAGGCCCTGCTCCCTGCACTTTAAAAATATTAGCAGCACATGCACTTTCTAGAACAGGTCACCATGCAGATACCTGTAGGGAACTTACCACCATGTGGCACTTCCCTGTCATTTTCCCCAGATTCTCACAGAGTCTTTAGAGGATGGCAGGAATGATCTTACCCCCTCAGGCCCTCTGCCCAGGCAGCAGTGCCCCACAGTGCCCTGATTCTGCCTTACGCTGACAGGCAGCCCTCTCACCTCAGTCTCCTCCTATGCCCGCCCCACCCCAGGCATTGGCTATGCCATCTGCATCATCGCCTTCTATATCGCCTCCTACTACAACACCATCATGGCCTGGGCGCTTTACTACCTCATCTCCTCCTTCACCGACCGGCTGCCCTGGACCAGCTGCCAGAATGCCTGGAACACAGGCAACTGCACCAACTATTTCTCAGAGGGCAATGTCACCTGGACGCTGCACTCCACATCCCCTGCGGAGGAATTTTACACGTAAGCACACATAAGGGAGGGCATGGCTGCTGGATGGCCACAGGCCTGGGGCTTGGCTTCTTGGGAGCAAAGCAGGCCTGCCCCATTGGGAATTCTCAGTGCCCTGGCCCATCTGTGCCCTCCTCTGTGATGTGCTGTGCCAGGTTGTCCTGGCATGCACCGGCCAAAATCACTCCCTTTCTTCTTGGGCCTTCATGGGCGTGAAACACCCAATTACTTCGATACTCTAAACCTTTCGGTCATTTCTGGTGTGCGTGCTCACCATCAGGGCAAGGAGAGGCTTGGAGTGGGCATCTGCTTTCATACTGGTGTTTCAGTCATGGCAGTCTGGAGCTACTGTCAGGTGGTTTGTATTTTTGTGATATTTCTTTTTTCTGGTTTGAGGCTACACCTGAAAGTGCCCAGGGATCACTCCCAGTGGTGCTCCAGGGACCATATGGGATGCCAGGGATTAAACCCAGGTCGGCCATGTGCAAGGCAAGTGCCTTACCCACTGTGCTGTCTCTCTGAGCCAGGCAGAGCACGGTCTATGACCACCTGTACACCCCCTGTGGACCTCCAGGCCAATACTGCTGGTCCTGCTTCTGGCTGACTGGGTTTCAGTGGGAAAGGAGAGGTGTGGCCTCCTGTCTGAGACTGACGGTCTTTCTGGGGTCCCTGGACCACCACTGCTCACTCCTGTTGACTGGGCATGGACAACCCCAGCTCTTCCTGAGACCACCTGGTCCTGGCAGTGCTGTGCCCACAGTGACTCCTGACCCTGTGGAGAGGCATCCTGGAAGTCAGCTCAGGCCACTGATTGTGAGATTTTCTTTGATCTTACTCCAGGCGCCACGTCCTGCAGATCCATCGGTCTAAGGGGCTCCAAGACCTGGGGGGCATCAGCTGGCAGCTTGCCCTCTGCATCATGCTGATCTTCACGGTGATCTACTTCAGCATCTGGAAAGGCGTCAAAACTTCTGGCAAGGTGAGAAGGGCTCTGGCTTCTGACCCAGGCCTGCCAGGGTGCCTCAGGGAATCTCAAATGCAGAGGCCAGTGGCTGTAGAATGCATTGTTTCCTTCAACACCAAACACATGTTGGGATGCCCAATCTCTTACATCAAATCCGTTTAAAAAATTCTAGGAAAGGGGCTAAACAGCAGATAGAGAACCTGCCTGACAAAAACAAACCTTTGTTCAACCCCTGGCCCTGCATATGGTCCCTCAGGCCCCATTGGGAATGACCCCTGAGCACAGAACTAGAAGTGCGCCTTGAGCACTGTCAGGTGTGATCCCAAAGTCAAACCAAAACTAGCAAAACCTCGACATTCTCGGAGCATGCTCGGTGCTTTTAGCGCGCTGGCCACTGGATTGTCTTCTGCTAGGACTCAATGCACTTGACAGTTGCAGTGAGGCTAAGCTGTTAGTCAGATCCCTGCCTGGGACAAGAGGCTATGATCTTGCCTCCTCCCGTTACAGGAATGAACGTGGCAGGTCTCTCCCTTCTTGTGTGTGTGCAAGAATAAAAGACCCAGCCCCCTCCTGCTGACAGCCTGCTTCCACTCCCTTCCTGCAGGTGGTGTGGGTGACGGCCACCTTTCCTTACATCATTCTCTGCATCCTGCTGCTAAGGGGTGCCACCCTCCCCGGGGCCTGGAGGGGCGTCCTCTTCTACTTGAAACCCAACTGGCAGAAGCTCCTGGAGACAGGGGTAAGAGAGTGCGGGAGGTGCGGGCACCTTGCAGACTGAAGAAGAGAATGTCTGAAACGTGCACCAGGCAGAGGAAGACTGAGGGCACGGGATTAGTGAGTGCCTGAAACAGAGAGAGAAAATCCATGTGCTTGCACGTGGTCACCCAGTGTGAGCTCTGAGTGCTGCCCGCCCACTCTGCTCAGAGCCATGTGATGGCATGAAGGAGCTGGCCCCGCTGAGCCTCGCTCAGTTCATGCTCACCCGCACCTCTGCTCTGTCCCAGGTGTGGGTGGATGCAGCTGCTCAGATTTTCTTCTCTCTTGGTCCTGGCTTCGGGGTCCTCCTGGCTTTTGCTAGCTACAACAAATTCAACAACAACTGCTACCAGTGAGTATCTGGGGGCCCCCAAGGAAAACACGGAAGTTGAGTGAAAGCAGAATAGCTGGTTGGAGGAGGAGAATCAGACTGAGGGCCTCAGACTGCTGGGATCAGGCTACGTTGACTCTGAGTCTTGGGGGTGCCACAGCCTGTCATCATTTCACCCTTAGTTAGAGCATGGCCCAAACAACAGCCACACGGTCACTCAGCCTGCAGCGAGACTCCAGGCCGTGTCCCACTCCACATTCAGAAACTTCAGAACAGTTTTACCAAAGTAGTAATACTGAAACATTTAGACCTGGTTTACTAATGTATTAAAGGACAGAATGGTAATGTGATGATTTGTTAATGTGTGTTTCCCTAGAAAGCCCAGTGATTGAGTTGTGCTGAACAGCATAAAAATGTCGTGATTTTTGGTAGCAAAAAAAAAAAAATCTCATTTCAGAAATTTTGACAGCACACAAGGAGTATTATGACAATTATGATTTAAATACCATTCACCACCTTTAGAATCAACTTTGCGTTAACATTCAGTCACAGGTGACTCTGTCCAGCAATCTAATTGTGCGATTCTTAAAGATTTTTATATAATTTATTACTCCCCCCCAAAAGGCATTCTTAGGCACCTAGGCAACATGACTTTACACTGGCCCTCTGCCTGAGCTACAGGGTGAGGTCTTCTCAAAGTGCCTGGATCTCTTTGGGTAGCCTCAGAACTATATCTGAAATATCATGCCCAAGTTGAAATTCAAGGACCCCATAAATGTGAGGCCTCCTAACCTACCTCTCACCTCAGTCCCTGCTTCAGAGAAACCTGGTGTGAAACCAGAGGTCTTGTTTGCACCAGGGATGTCCCTTCAAACAGCACCTGAGCTGCTGTGCTCCCAGCACCCTGAGTCAGCCTGGAGACCAGAAGCTGGGAACAGGGCAGGGGACAGTCTTTGAGCACTACTTGCTCAGCTTCTTAGAGTCCTTGCCCCAGAAACGCCCCATTGTACTGGGTTTTCTGCTCCAGAGACGCTTTGGTGACCAGTGCGGTGAACTGCGTGACAAGCTTCATTTCCGGATTTGTCATTTTCACGGTGCTTGGGTATATGGCTGAGATGAGAAATGAAGACGTGTCTGAAGTGGCCAAAGATGCAGGTATGGATTCTGGTTAGGCCCCTCGTTTCCACTGAGGTTTTACTGCATTTGGGATCCTTATAAATACCTGACTCAATTCTCAAATGCCCCTTTTAAAGATTTTTTGGTTTTGGTTTTGTCTGGGGTGGGGAGCACACCCAGTGGTGCTCAGGGCTTACTCCTGGCTCTTTGCTTAGGGATTACTGCTGGCACTGTTCAGGGCATCATAGGTAGTGCTGGGGATTGACTAGGGTCAGTTGCATGCAAGGCAAGCCCCCTACCTGCTATAATATCTGCCCAGCGCTTAAAGATATTTTAGAGAAACTCACTGTCCTTTCTCTCAGAAAGTTAACCCTTTCTATCTGAATTTCATCCCTGGTGGGAGGAAGCAGCCTCCAGTATGGGAACTTGAATATACTGGGGACTTGAAAACAGGACTTTGGGCCCAGGCAGCTAGCCAAAGAGTGGTGCACATCCTTTGTATGAGGAAGACACATGTTGGATCCCTGGCACTGTCTCCCAAGCAATGTTGGAGCAGCCCCGAGCACCGCTAGGTGTGGCCCAAAATCACTGTCACTGTCCTCCAGTTGTTCACCGATTTGCTCGAGCGGGCACCAGTAATGTGTCACAACAAATTGTGATACTCATTGTTACTGTTTTTTGCATATTGAATACATCACGGGGAGCTTGCCAGGCTTTGCCATGTGGGCAGGATACTCTTGGTAGCTTGCCGGGCTCTCCAAGAGGGATAGAGGAATCGAACCCGGGTCGGCCATGTTGGCCGCGTGCAAGGCAAATGCCTTACTCAAAATATTAAAACAAATAGATAATATGAAAATATGACTTCAATGGTAACTTTTAAGATCAATGAGTGTGAATCTGCGAAGAGTTCATGTCTATATGCAATAATTGCTCATCCTTAGAATTTTACAGAGCAGAATATTTAAAAATGTAGGACATCAACTCTACCATCCAGTGAGAGGGTCATGGAAAAAGAATGTGAGAATCTGAGATGGGGTAGGGTGGAGGAAAGTCTGTAGCTTGGGCCCCAGGCTTCCTGGCTGTCTATTGTGGGTCATACAGTTCACCGATGGCCCTATACCCCCAAATATAAGCACCCTTACTTGGCCCATGAGTGGTTGAGAGCTTATTTCTCACACTTGTCCAAAGGACTTGAAGCTGTTGGCCTTTATTCCAAGGCCTCTGTGCAGTTTCTGAGCACAAATGTGCCAGAGAATAAATGTGGTGAGACTTTAAAGCCAGTCCTCAACCTGGGGTGCAGCTCAGACACAGAACAGTTGCCTTTTATGTCTGAATCCTTGGATTCTGGGTTCAATCCTGGCATTACAATGGGGGTGCAAGTGGGCGAGTATCGGTCTTGAAAAACAGCTCCACTATCTGTCTTGGAAAGCCCCATTTTCTAGTGTAGCTTTGCCAGTCTAAGGGCTTGAGTTTCTCCAGACCTCGAATTGGTCTTTCCAGGGTGAGTGTCACCCCCTCACTGCCTCCCTGGCTGTTGGCAGCCAGCTATGGTGGCTCAAGATGTTATTAGATGCACTCAATGACAGATTCACATGGAAGGTTTGGGATGAGAAGAGTAATGATTGATGTGGTGGGGTTTTCCTGCAAGACCTCATTGAGGGTCATAGCACCTCTTTCTCCTTCCCCACTCCCTGCCCAGGCCCCAGCCTCCTCTTCATCACCTACGCCGAGGCCATAGCCAACATGCCAGCATCCACCTTCTTTGCCATCATCTTCTTCCTGATGCTGATTACACTGGGTCTGGACAGCACAGTGAGTGATGGAGGGGATAGGGGGGTGGGATGGGTGTAGAACCTGTTCCTCCCCAATCTGCTCCCCCCCCCCATGCAGTATTGTTGTTCCCTTCTGGGGGTGGCCTGTATCCCCAGCACAAAAGAGTTCTTAATGGGGGTAATGAGTGTAAAGCCTTGCATGGTAGGAGTGGAAGGGGGCCCATGGATGTCAGCATGTGGGAGCTATTGTGCATTGTCCCTTGATTAGAGGGTGACACCTAATGGCCAGGGCAAGGTGACTCATGTAGATGGGTCACTCGCAGAATCCTGTCAGTGTGGAATGAGTCTCTACTCACAGTTGGCCTTTCTGGTGCAGGCAATATGCCCCCAAGAAAACTTTCACAGAAAAGAATAGTCATGTGCTCCCTTTTGGTCCCAAGACGTCCTTAGTGTGAGGTTCCTAAGCCATCGTGTAAAACAGGGACATTTATTTACAGTAAGGGCCAGTGAGCTTGGAAATCTGCTTACGGTCAGCCTGACTGGTCCCTTGGCAGTCTGAACCCCTCCTTCCTGTGTAGGGACCTAGACGGTGACCCTGAGTCCCTTGAACCCTCCAGGACTGTTTGTGTTTTTCTCTTTCAGTTTGCAGGCTTGGAGGGTGTCATCACTGCTGTGCTTGACGAGTTCCCACACATCTGGTCCAAGCGCAGGGAGTGGTTTGTGCTTGCTGTGGTCATTACCTGCTTCTTTGGATCCCTGGTCACCCTGACTTTTGTAAGCAACAACAAAAGAAACAACTTTTGTAGGACTAGTAAAAGCTGGCAGCCAGGGAAGAGAACTCAGAGGTTAGAGCACATGCTCGGGATGCACGAGGCAGTTCCAGCCCCTGCACTGCATGATGCCCTGACCCCTGCCAGAAGGACCTGGAGCACCATGCTGGGAGTAGCCCCCAAGCACTGCCACAATTGCCCCGAGAAAACAAACAAAAATTCATGAAGAAAGAGTATCAGAAATGGGTCCTACCCTTTCCTTCCATATCATGCTCTGACTTCAGGAGAAGTGAGGAAGGTCATCACTTCTGTTAGTTTGTCAACAAGAATGACTGGTTCTGTGGCAGCTGCATTTGTGCGTGCCAAGAGGCTCTTAGTTGTTTTTTTGTTTTGTTTTGTTTTGTTTTGTTTTATGGTAGATGGAAATAGATCTCAGGCTTGGATAACATCTGGAGACAAACTAAGAATTGCTTTTCTGGTATCACTGTAGTCCTTTCGGCTGCTTGTTGGGGGGCTATTGCCCTGATACACAGAACTTGGGGAGAGGTCAGAGTCATAGTATGGCAAGTAGAGGAAGGGTGCTTGTTTTGTACAGGGCTGACCTGGATTAGATCTCTGGCACCCCATTTTGTCCCCTAAGCCCTAGCAGGAGTGATCCCTGAGCACAGAGGCAGGAGTAATCCCTGAGCACATGAAATTGTACCTCCTTTCCCAAGAAAAGAATTTGGGGAGATGAGCTCCTTGTGTTTGTCAGGTCCTTCTGTTTCCTCCAGAGAACCTCCCTTGGTGAAGGAGTGATTCTCCAGGGATTGTTGCTGCTGAGGCGAATATTATAAACTGTGGCTTCAAAAAATCCCCACAGAGGGACTAGAGTGATATTAGAGTTGGTAGGGTGTTTGCCTCACATGTGGCCAACCTAGGTCTAACCCCTGGCACCCCATACAGTCCCCCCAACCCTGCCAGGAGTGATCCCTGAGCACAGAGGCAGGTATGAGTCCTGAGCACTACTGGATGTGGCACCCAAACCAAATGAAAAATGAAAGAAAGTAGTTCCAGAGGTAGTAGAAAGTAGTTCCTCAGAACTCAGCAGGCAATGCAAGAACCAGCGGTGGGAGGAGGCAGCTCCGAGAGGCAGGCTCTGGAGACTTCTGTTCCATCGGACGGGTGGGGGTGTTTTCCAGAATGTTCCTACATAAACAGCCTTGGCCCCTGTGGTGAGGAAGCAGCCATGCCTCAGGGCTACATTGTCCCCTTTCCAGGGTGGCGCGTACGTGGTGAAGCTGTTGGAGGAGTATGCCACGGGACCCGCAGTGCTCACCGTCGTGCTGATAGAGGCCATTGCTGTGTTTTGGTTCTATGGTAAGATGTTTCTGGCCGCTGTCCTTTCTACACCAGCCACAAGGCTTCCCTTCTGCTGTCACCAGGCTAGAGAAAGGCTGATTTCATCAAAGAAAGGCAGGCTAGCATCCAAGACCAGGCCATGAACCTCTCAGCCTGGTCCTTCCTAGACAGGCCATTTCTCCCACACTCTGTACCCAAGATTGCCCACACTTTTGGGAGGTCTTTTTTTTTTTCCCTTATGGGTTTAGATGCTTACCCAGTGGAGACAGCCTGAGATGTTTCTAGAGAGTTCCTTCACCCCCAATACGTCTTTTTTTTTCTGTCTTACTCCTGATTTTTGTCCATTCAAGCAAAATTAAGTACTCTTTCACTTAAAGAAAATTTGAATTAAAGGAACAAAAGGAAATAATGTACCAACATACTGCTAACCAGACCCTCCCCTCTACTAGAACAGAGATCATGGATCAGGCGGCCCATGGATTGACATGGCCTATCACGGCAGAGTGGAGAGAGAGCAGGCAGATTTTTTTCCCTTTTTGGGTCACACCCAGCGTTGCACAGGGGTTACTCCTGGTTCTGCACAGGAATGACCCCTGGCGGTGCTCAGGGGACCATATTGGATGCTGTGAATCGAACCCTGGTCGACCGCGTGCAAGCCAAACACCCTACCCGCTGTGCTATTGCCCAGAGAGCAGGCAGTTCTTGAGGCTAGAAATGAAGTGGGTGCTAGGCCAGGCAGGGAGCTGAGAGTCGTCCTGAACATCTGGGTGGCAGGAGCTGAAGGGGTGCCAGACCCTCAGGCTGGCAGGTTGGCCAGTCACCGACGCCCCGTGGCCCAAGCACGGTGCATACCTGTACAGGAGCCCACTGACAACCCAGCACAACCTGGACAAAGCCCACTTGGCCACCTGTGTGCAGCCGCTAAAAGTACCCCCGATGCTTGTCATCCGGCTTAGCAATAAGAATTGGGCAGATGACAAAGAACTAGCGGTCAGCGAATCTCTCTCTACTCCTCAGTTCAGTATGTTGTTAGTGCATGTACTAATACAGGAAGAGTGGCGCTGGGCTTCAGCTTTGCATAAGCTCGCTCTGGGCCCCTGAGTCAGAGTTTAGGAGTTTCTTTTCTAGGCAAGAACATTCCTGTTTGGATTATCTACTCTGGTAACACCCCCTGCCACCCCTATTCACAATCTGTCTCTGGGGTGGGACTCAGAGGAGGATGAAAGTGTGCCCTGACTGTGTCCCAGCTGCTGGGTCCCAGAACCCCTGATGGGAGATCGGGGAGAAAGGTCGGTCACAGGAAGGCTGGATCTTTGTACCCCCTCAGCAAGTAGAAGACAACGTTCAAAGTGTGAGAACCTGCCTGAGGTGTTGCTGGGAGCTCTGAGAAGCAAACACATTGCCTGTTTTTGTGCCAGTTACCTTGTTTTCAACGTGTGGATTTTTTTTCAATTATGAATTTGTTGAGATTACATTGGTTTATGAGTATAAATGCGTATATGTTTTAGGGGTTCCACATGGGTTCCACACCATGCCCATGTGCACCACCAAAGTACCAATAGCCCCCCACATGTGCTCTCTTCTCAGTTAGGCTCCCTCTGGGTCGTGTGCTCCCTGTTGGCTGTGTGCTTCCTGTTGGCTGTGTGCTCCCTCTCAGCTATGTGCTCCCTCTGGGCCATGTGCTCCCTGTTGGCTGTGTGCTCTCTCTAGGCCGCGTGCTCCCTTTCGGCCAGGCCCTCTCAATTAGTCTTCCTTTGGGCCGTGTGCTCCCTCTCATGTGCTCCCTCTCAACTAGTCTCCCTTTGGGCTTCCTCTCGTGCTCCCTCAGCTAGGCTCCCTCTGGGCCGTGTGCTCCCTCTCATCCTCTCTTTCTCCCTCCACTGCGTAGGCCTGACTCAGTTCTGCAGTGATGTGAAGGAAATGCTAGGCTTCAGCCCTGGATGGTTCTGGAGGATCTGCTGGGTTGCCATCAGCCCCCTGTTTCTCTTGGTGAGTGGCCTTTCCCCTCTCCTCACCCTGGCACACTTGCCCTCCATGCTTCCTTTGGGAACAGTTACTGAAGGATCGGGCCTAGTGTTCTGCATCAGCCCGTATTCGCAAGAAGATTTGGGCCATCATTGTGCTCTAAGTGCGCCTCCTTTCAGAATAGCCCCTGTAGGGTGAGTCTCTCTAGGCAGTTGTTTATTTTTTCTTAAAATGTTTCATAGAGGCCCCACCCAGTGTTGCTGGCAGGACCTTGGGCAATGCTTCGGGTGGAGGGTGGGTGTTTCCAGCATCAGGGATTGAACTCATGGCTCTCAGGGCCAGGTCTGTGCTCCTCCCTTGAGCTATCACCCCAACCCCCAGCCTTCTAGCTTTTGTCCTTTTTGGACTCTGATCTCAGTGTGAACTGATTAGATGGACCACCTACTCACTCCAGCCTTCACAAGTGATTTGTCTCTTTGCCTGCAAATCCCTCCCCAATTTCCATTCTCCTGCACCTTAGGTCAATGCCAGTCCTTTGTCTGAGCTGCCCATAAGCCCTGGCACCTGCACTGATCTCCAGCATTCCCTTTTCTCTGGTCTGATGGTTTCTTGTACCTTATCAGCTCATTGATGCTTTTAGGTAATTTCTAAAGCACACATTTTTAAAATCCACAAGTTTTTGTAGATTTTTTTTTTTTAAAGAGCTGATCTGGGCTGGAGCGATAGCACAGCAGGTAGGGTGTTTGCCTTGCATGTGGCCGACCAGGCCAACCCGGGTTCGATTCCTTTGCCCCTCTCGGAGAGCCCGGCAAACTACAAAGAGTATCTCGCCCGCATGGCAAAGCCTGGCAAGCTACCCATAACGTATTCGATATGCCAAACACAGTAACAACAAGTCTCACAGTGTTACTGGGCCCGCTCGAGCAAATCGATGAACAATGGGAGGACAGGGACAGGGAAGAGTTGCTCTGAATCACCTCTCTTGCTGATACTAGAAGCAGATGTCCTGACATAAGTAGGCTATTAATTTATATTAATACCAGGGCTTCTCTATAATCTACTTAAATTTGTTTTTCAAGGGAAGAAGCGACATTGGCTTAGTGCTTTAAGGGTAGATTCATGTTTCTTTGTTGGTATCAGTTATTTCCTGTCTGGGAGGGAACGATGAGGGGCTAAGACCTGGGGAAGACAAGTAAGGTACAAACTTTGAGCACCCTAAAACTGTCATCTAAACCTTGGTATGGGTTGTAGGGCAATAATAAAATGTTTAATAATGCAATAATTAAAAATGTAAGTGAATGCAAAAAAAAATATTCCTGCTGAACTAATATCAAGAGTTTAAATAGAAACAGGGCTTGACCCTATTCTAGCTTCTCTCACCTCACTTACCTCAGCCTGATATCCCTGATGGGGCACTGCCACATTCATGTGAGGCATGTGCTGTGGGGGCCCCTGGAGCTGGTCTACAGAGACTGTTCCATTAAAATTCTCTGTGGCGTGACTGCTGATGCATTGGCAGCCCCATCTCTGTGGTACCTCAGCTTCCTCCACCTCATCCTGGGATCTTCATGTTTTCACAAAGCTGAGCCTGGCCAAAAGCCACATCCCTCATGATCTCCGATCTGCTTGATTCATTCCTCCAAAAGCACCCCAGTAGGGTGCAAGGAAGGGGTGGCCAAGCTTGTGGGAACAGATACTCTGCTCTGAGCTTCTGAAGGCTGATTTAGGCAGTCACCAGGACCTCACGGAAAAGATTCTTTTTCACTGAAGCCAAGTTCCCCCCCCCCAAAAAAAAGGGAAATCTTGTCTCTGAGCAGACAGAAGCAAGGATGTTCCATGGGGTGTCTGGGCTGACACTATGGGCTGCAGCCAGAGCTCAGGGCCTGAGTCACTGCCACTTGCCTATACTTGACATCAAAATGACACAAGGAACAACATATGGCACTGCACCACATCCTCCCTGTCCCTTTTCCAAAGTGGGACTGGGAGTGAAAAGAGTGGGTGAGAGAAAGGTTTGTCTCTCAGGCCGGGCTTCCTTCTGGAAGTCGGAGCATGCTGTGGAGAAGATGAATGTGTGTTTAACAATTTCCCTTTTTATTACCTGCAAGGAAAAAAAAAGGATATAAATAGATGTTTAACCACACAAATAATTTACATTACTGTCTTCTTTATGACAATGAAATAATAAAATAAAATTAAATCAAGAGTAATAACACTCCATCCCAGTGGTTACTAGGCAAAAACTGATATTTACACTTGCTCCGGAAGCCAAACCTAATAAGAAAACCCATAAACTGAATGTTGGGAACACACACTGTGGAATTTTGGGAGCTGAAATTTTCACTGAATTTCCAAGACAAAAGTGCACAGAGGGGAAGGGGGGAGGTACTGGCTTGTCCTTCATTCCCTACCGAGGTTACGAGTTGCCCCCCACGAGCGGCTCTCTGGCACAGCCATAACACCAGACGCACAGAAACCAATCTCATAATTATCTGGTTCTTTGCAGAAATCCAAAATTGCGCGGCCACTGTCGTGGCTGAGCAACATTATATAATTCTTATAACCAGCTATAGAAAACAAAGTATTTCACAATGCCTTTTCAGCAATTCTGATTGTGGGGGGGGGGGGGAATTCTAAATAATAATGGTGCATCTTTTGTCAAAATAATGAATGTAATCAATGTAGGGAAGAATTAAGTAGAAATCATCTGCCTCATAGGCATTGGGAGGGGTGTACAAGCACAAGCATCCTGTTGTTCGTCAATTCCCTCGAGCAGGCACCAGTAACGTCTCCTTCATCCTAGCCCTGAGATTTTAAAAGAGCAATTTCAATGCTCTTTCAGGATTAGAAGAATGAGCCCCATCATTGTTACTGGTATTTGGCATATTGAATACGACACGGAAGTTTGCCAGACTCTACCATGTGGGGGCAGGATGCTTTTGGTAGCCTGCCAGGTTCTCCAAAGGAAAAAAAAAGATAATAAGATGTTGCACGGCCGCTAATGCGGCCGCGCACTTCTGAAAACTGGATATTATAGTCTCTGCATCTTGGCCGTTGATGGGATCAACCTAGCACTGGAAGCAGCTGGTGGGTATGACGCCTACCTACTGGAAGATGGGGGTCTGGTTGGAGAAGGCCCAGTCCCAATCTGAGTAGGCTTGGAGACCTCAGCCCCGGGACCCGCATGCCTGGGTTCCTCTGCCAGTTCTTTCATGCATGAGGCCCGTCCGGATGTGTGGAGAGTGGTTCCAGCATGACCGTGGCTGGCTCCGGAGGTCCTCAGCTGCGGGGGCTCTGCTCGGGGCGGGGAAGGGGGTGGGGGGGGTATATTGGGCTTCTTGGTGGTGAAAAATGAGTACTGGTGAAGGGAAAGGTGTTTGATCATTGTATGACTGAGACTTAAACCTGAAAGCTTTGTAACTTTTTCTACAGTCACGGTCATGGTCCTCCCATTGTTCATCGATTTGCTCGAGCTAGCCCAGTAACATATCCTTCGTAAGACGTGTTGTTTCTGTGTTTGGCATATCGAATACATCACGGGTAGCTTGCCAGGCTCTGCCGTGCGGGCGAGATACTCTCGGTAGCTTGCCGGGCTCTCCAAGAGGGGCGGAGGAATCGAACTTGGGACGGCCATGTTGGTTGCGTGCAAGGCAAATGCCCTACCGCTGTGCTATCGCTCCACAGTGATTCAATAAATAAATATAAGAAGAAAATAAATAAATAAAATTATTTAAAAAATGTAAGATGGAGTTCATGCCCAATTTGATCAGCTAATCAGTGACTGAATAAATAGCAGTACTCCTACATAAAAAAAAAAAGTGCACAGAGGTGCTTTTGCCGGTGGTTGCTCCCCACCTTAGTCTGGGCCTGTGGCAGTGAGATTTTGAGTGGGTCAAAATCCCAGGCCTCAAAAAAAAAAAAAAAACAACCCTGTATAAAGGGAGACAAGGAACATAGGCCCCGGGGCCTGAGGCTTCTCCAGGTCTGAGAACTTTGTTATCTCGTGGACATATCATCCCACCCAAAACAGTCATAGTTAAGAAATGCAGGAGGAAATAAAAACAAAACAGAGGGCCAGAAGGGCCGTGGAAAGGTCACTCAGTTTGTTCTTCTACAGGCTGCAGAGATAACAGTCCCCGCCCCACTTCTAAGCATGCCAGTCCTTCTTTGGGGATGGGGGCAAAATTAATACTTGTCTGTTTCCTTATTGTAGCTTAGGGACAGAAGTTAGTGAATTCTGGCTGGGAATAGAGCTCAGGCGTAGAACACAGGTTCAACTCTTGGCACCGCCCCACACTCCAAATCAGTGAATCCTCTGTGTCAGGGATTTATTTGGGATCTCCCTGAATAAAAATTTATCTTATCTTGGGCAGTTGGAGTTCTTGATATTAAAAATGCCGCTGTTCACATGGTACTGCTAAGATTTTCAACGTTTCTGGAAATTTCTATTTCAGTTCATCATTTGCAGTTTTTTGATGAGCCCACCACAGCTACGACTTTTCCAGTATAATTACCCTCACTGGAGCATCATACTAGGCTACTGCATAGGGACCTCCTCTTTCATCTGCATCCCCACGTACATAATGTACCGGCTAATCACCACTCCAGGGACACTGAAGGAGGTACGTGCTGGTGCGCAGACTGATCACTGTTTGGGGAGAAAGGGGCTTGCTTATTGTGCTCTAATCTAAAGAGATAAATTTATCTCCATGAAATGCGCCAAGAGGTGCTCAGCCCTATCCACTAGATCTGTAATGGCATCCAAGGTCCTAAACCTCTTCTGCCAAGGTGGGAAGGGGAGCTGCTCATTTGGGTGTCCCCATGGATGACTCGGGGCGTGTATGGTGTTCTCAACTATCAGTAACTACTTTGCCACCTTCTTGCTGTTGGATCTGCCATGTCTTGAGTAACACACAAACTTTGATCCAACCAGAGATTTCAACAAAAAACTTCACTGACACTTTTCTTGTTTTTGTGTGTTGGGCCCTCCCAGTCCTGCTTGGGGATTACCAGGGCTATGCCAGCTATGCTTGAAGGGCCGTGTGGTGTGGGGTTGGGTGAGGGAAGAGTATGCGTGGGGTGTTCCGATTTCAGAACCCCCCTCCCCCCAGCACACCAGGCATGTGATCCAGCCCTCTGAGATGCTTCTGCCCCTCTCCTCCTTTCTTCCTCCATCCCCTCCACCTCTCTCTCCCTCTCCCTGTCCCTCTTCCCCTCCCCTCTCCTTTCTGGTTTTTGGGTGCATCTGTAGTGCTCAGGCCTTACTCCTGGCTCTGCACTGAAAAATCACTCCTGAGAGGCTGGAGTGATAGCACAGCGGGTAGGGTGTTTGCCTTCCATGCGGCCAACCCGGGTTCAATTCCTAGCATTCCATATGGTTCCCTGAGTACCGCCAGGGCTAATTCCTGAGTGCAGAGCCAGGAGTAACCCCTGAGCATCGCTGGGTGTGACCTAAAAATTAAAAAAAAATTTTTTAAAAATCACTCCTGATTTCCCACTCCTGGCTTGGGAAATCATATGGGGTACAGAGGATCAAGCCAGGTGTCAGCTGTGTGAAACATAAACATCTTACCAGCTGGACTACTATCTTTCTGGCCTCTCCTTGGCCAATTTTCTAAGAGCAATATGACAAGAACTCATTTGAAAAGTAAACACATTGCAACAGTCTTGGGTTCAATTCTGGGCACTGCGTTACAAACTAACAATAGAAATTGCAATGATATTGTAATTTTAGTTCAAATCATTAGAATTTAAAAATGAACTAAAAAAAACACACAAAAACAAAAAACGAGCACAGAACCAGGAGTAAGCCTGGACTGAGCACTGCCAGGTGTGGCCCGAAAACTACAAAAAGCAAACAAACAAACAAAAACCCTTAAGTAAAAAAAGTTGCAATTATAGCAGGATTTATTTCAACAATAAATAACGTGCTATAAAATTTTTAATAATAGGAGCCTGAGATACAATACAAAGGGCAGAAGTTATAGTACTTGACCTGCATTATGTTTGGCACCTTGATCTCTGGCTCCTGGCATCCCATATGGTCCCCAGAGCCCCACCAGGAGTGATCCCTGAGCACAGAGTCAAAGTCATCCCTGAGCATTGCTGAGTTGTTTCCAAAACCAGTAACTAGATAAATAAGTAAAATTTTAAGAAACCTTACATACAATGTCATATACTTTCAAAATAGATAATCTAATTTTTTAAATCAATATTCCTTCTAAGGGAAATACGCAGTTATTATCAGCAAAAATGTTGGGACTAGGAATATACCTCTGCAAAATTTCTTTATTATAGTGCTTATCCAGGGCAACAGTACAGGGAAGTTCAGAACCCAGGTCTCTGATTTCTAGTCACACACTTTACCCTACCTTTTTAGGTGCATATTCTCTTTGTCCTTGGATGTTAATAGTTTGCTAATGGTTAGGGGGCAGTGTGTCTTCAGTTTTCTCTGTGCTTAAGTGTGTGTGTGTGTGTGGGGGGGGGTGGATGAAGCCCCATCTGATGGTTCTCAGGCCTTATTCCTGGCTCTTTGTTCAGGGGTCACTCTTGAAGGTGCTTGGAGGGCCATATTGATACTGGGGATTGAAGCCAGGTCAGCAGGATGCACACAGCAACTCCTAGCTAAGATCAGACCTTACTACTGCCTCTGTGCTTAGGGATCATGCATGGTGGGGTTAGGGGACCATATGGAATGCCAGGGATCAAACCCCAGGTCGGCTGCATGCAAGGCAAGTGCCCAATCCATTGTACTATCTCTCCTGCCCCTGCACATGTATTTTAAAATTGAATCATGTGGTAACTCATAACCCTCTGTAAATTCACACTCCTTTGTGGAGGCGGTTCACAGAATCATCAACATTCTGACTGTCCCTGGCAGAGGCCCTATGCACTATCTGTAGTGTTCATGGAGGGGACACTGAGCCCAGCTCAACTCAGAGACCAGACCCCCACCTCCTGGCCCCCATGTGGCTGTCTGAAACCTCTGTGGAAGGGAAAGAACAGCCTTTCTGAGATCACATGAAGCAGCTGATCAGTTGGTAGAGGTTTCAGTGAAGACTCATAATTTCTCCCAGTGTGTAATGATTTAATTTCTTTAATTAGTTTACAGATGCTTTTAGGTCCTGAATGTAACATTAAGAACAAATAAATTGGAACCTCCCTTAAGGAAAGTCAATGAAATCATTCCAATGTAGTAAATGGTATTCAAATGTTATTTAATATTAATGGTGAAACTTTATTACAATGTGGATAAATTACAAAAAATATATATGAAATAAAAATAACATATTTTCTGTGCTGGAAATATAGTACAGTGTATAAGAGTGGGTAAGATGCTTGCCCTGAACACAGCTGATTCATGTTCCATCCCTGGTACCATATATGGTCCCCTAAGCACCACCAGGTGTAAGCTTAGGGCCAGGAGTAAGAGCACAGAGCCAGGAGTAAGCTCTGAGCACTGCTGGGTGAAGTCTAAATACATAAAAAAAGAGAGAGAAAGAAAGAAAGAAAGAAAGAAAGAAAGAAAGAAAGAAAGAAAGAAAGAAAGGAAGGAAGGAAGGAAGGAAGGAGAAAAAGAGAAAAAATAAAAAAATCTTTTCAGATTGTAGGGATAGTACAGTGGGTAGAGCTTATACATCCCTGACCTGAATTCAATCCCTGAAGCACCATCAAGTCATCCTGAGACCAGAGCCAGGAGTCCGTCCTGAACACAACCAAGTGTTGCCCAGAATCCCCCCTACATACACAGAAATAAAAATATAACGACACTCTATTTCCTTCCCAACAGCGTATTATTAAAAGTATCACCCCAGAAACACCAACGGAAATTCCCTGTGGGGACATCCGCCTGAACGTCGTGTGAGACTCTCTGAGGAAAGGGTGTCTCAATGGCTCTTCCTCCAGAATTGTCACCTTCTCTCCTTGAAACTCATGGATTTCCAAGGAAGCCCTACAACGAAAGGACCATCCTCATAGAGACACAATCCCCAAAGACAATGGGGCCCAGACTCCTGTGGCCTCTCACCCCTGAAATCTCCTGGACATATCACGTTAGACTTTGTGACAAAGATGACCCGGCATATTCTGCATATGCAAGGGGGTGTATGGAGGTGTGAAAACCACCATATAATCCATTAGAGTTAGGTTTAGAATCAAGTCTGTGAAAGTCTCCTGTATCATTTCTTGTTACAGTCACTGGTATTTAACCTTTGCTTTGAAAGTTTTCACTGTCCATGGATGCATAAACTATGTAGGCACAAAGAGGGATGCTTCTTGTTAGCCATATATTTTCTGAGTAGCATAAAATTCTATAGCTGGAATCTACTAGAACCCTTTACCCTGTGTGCTGCTGTGGAATCAGGAGAGAAAGATGTAAGAAAATAAACTGAAAAATAATGTGTGAGCATGTGTGTCTGTGTATATTGTTGTCCCGGCATATCCTGATCACTCTACCAATCATTTGGGTCCATGACAAAGATACAGGATTTAGTCATTTTAAAGCTTTCATTTTTTTATAATTAAAAATTTCACCTGGGGCTGGAGCGATAGCACAGCGGGTAGGGCGCTCGCCTTGCACGCGGCCGACCCGGGTTCGATTCCCAGCATCCCATATGGTCCCCTGAGCACCGCCAGGAGTAACCCCTGTGCATTGCCGGGTGTGACCCAAAAAGCAAAAATAAATAAATAAATCACTACGTTTAAAAAAAAATTTCACCTACCCCAGTGTGTGTGTATTATTTAAAGGGAACAATTGTTACCACAATCTCTACAGCTACATCTTAGCTCAAACATCTGCCTTTAGGGACCAGCCTTTTTGCACAGCACTGCATCTTCTTTTCTCTGCGAACATTCCAGATTAAGTTCCACTGGCAAATCTGACTGATTTCATTTAACACTATGACTGATTCCATTCATCATTATGGTCTGGCCATGAACTGCTCTGAAGATAGATATCAACAGAAGCATCTTCCTACATCAAGTAGGAGAGCACATGCCTAGCATGTGTGAGACCCTGGGTTCCATCCCGAGTCCTGATGCTCTGGTTCACTCAAGCACTGCTGAGTGTGGTCCCTAATGTTTTAAAATGTCAAAAGCATCTTTATCTTCAAGTTACCTGCTTCAAATGACTGAACTTGACTATTCAGAGTACTGGAGGGAGCATGAATCCAATCCTTATTTAGAGATAATGTTAGTTTGCCACCTTAACTTAAACCAACCTCATCTTTAATCCCAAAGTAACTGCATGGTCACTTTTGGTTCGTTTGTGATGGACCTTCCCAAGACTCTTCACCCTTTGTGGTGGTCAAGGGTGTGAACACTCCAGTTGAGAGCTGTCATTCTATGTCAACATGTCAACAAGGAAAAAGTGAGTTAAGTCAATGACTCTTTCATTTCACCTGCCACCTTCAATGTGATCTCCTGAGGCCTGCAACTCTGAGATGTGTGGAGAGAGGAGCGAACGGGATTTATGTGGCATGAGATTTCCTTACCAAAATCTTCAAGGAAATAATTTCTGGCTGTAAACTGAGTCTAAGCTTAACAACTTTGTGAAAGAAAAATTCATATCACAGAGGCCGGATTTTGCCTAATTGCAGACCTTCCCTCCGTGGTTTCCATTCCCAGCACTCTCTGCCTTTGCCACTGGCTTGTAACCCTTCCATCCTTCTAGTTCTAGTTCTTCACTTTTCCTAGCAGATTGTTTTCTTTATAGATGGTAGCTGCTGAGAAGCTTTCCAGAATATACGAGGAAAAGAGAGAGGAGATTTTAAAATGTCCCTTACTGATCGATTAGTATTATCTTCACTCTTTCATTCCTCCTCTCACCTTATTTTCTATTTTGTTTTCCAGCATACTGAAAGGAGGAAGGCTGTACAGTGACAGCACATTAGGTAGTAAATAGCTTTCTATTTTTTTAAAAAGAAAATTTGGCCACGTGCAGTGGTTACTAAAAACTCTGTAGTCAGAAATGTACTCTTGTCAATGCTTAGGGGATCACATGGGATACCAGTGAGCAAACCCAGGTTGGCAAGCAAGGCGAGCACCCTATCAACGGTACTATCACACCAGCCCCAGCTTCTCAAATTTTATTTTATTTTTTTTGTAGGAGTACTGCTATTTATTCAGCCACTGATTAGCTGATTGAATTGTGCATGAACGCCACCTTACTTTTCTTTTTTCATTTTTTATAATTTTATTTATTGAATCACCGTGAGAGCAGTTACAAAGCTTTTGGGTCTAAGTCTCGGTCATACAATGAAACACCCATACCTTCACCAGTGCCCATTCTCCACCACCAAAAACCCCAGTATACCCCCATCCCACACCCTCCCCCCACCTGTGGGGCAGATGATTTCCACATTACTCTCTCTCTACTTTGATCACATTCAGTATTTCGACACCAGACCCACCATTATTATTTGAGATTTTACCCCAACACTCAGATATGCTGAAAGGGCAACAATAGACAATTTGTGTTCTATTGCTGGTTATGAATAACATATGATGTCACGTGGCTGCAGTAGGGCCATGTGATTTTGAAGTTCTGAAATTTTAACACTTAAATCTGGAGGGATTTCTACCAAAAGCCACTGGGTTTCGAGATTTGCTCCTGAGTCTCTGGGATCATGGCTGTTGAGCTGCTTGATCAGGAGCCAGAGAGGCTGTTTGTGGGCGATGACTTGTGGTCTCGTTGGGGTGGGGAGGACAGGCCCGGCTCTACCCCATCCCGTGAAGCCCAACAAATTTCGTCACTGTGGGCCCAACCTTGACTGTCCAATGGCCTCTGGAGGATGGAGGCCACCGAGCTGCCAAGAGAGAGCAGGTGGAGTGACAACACCCTTTCCTCCCTGGGGTGGCCCGGCGACAATAAGGTACTGTGGGGTCCGGACACATTTCTGCCAAAAGTCACTGGGTTTTGAGATTTGTTTCTGAGTCTCTGGGATCATGGCCATTAAGCAGCTGGATCAGGAGCCAGAGAGGCCATTCGTGGGCGATGACTTGGGGTCTCGTTGGGGTGGGGAGGACAAGCCTGGCTCTACCCCCATCCCGTGAGGCCCTGTGTGTCTCGTCACTGGGGGCCCAAACCTGACTATCCAGTGGCCTCTGGACGTTGGCAGCCACTGGGCCACCAGGGGGAACATGCCAAGGCACGAAACATATTCCCACCTGGGTTGGCCCAGCACCGGTAACCTACTGCAGGGACCAGACGCATTTCTACTTAAAGCCGCTGGTTTCCAAGATTCGTTCCTGAGTCTCTGGGATCACGGCCATTAAGCAGTTCAATCAGGAACCAGAGAGGCCTTGCCTCCAATTATTTAGCTGAGCCAGAGGTGGTTTGTGGGAAACACACCTACGGAGGTGGTTTGTGGGTGTGTTTCCCACATACCTAACTTTTGGCTGTTTACTTTCTTGGTAAACTTTGCCCCAAGTTTTTGGGGTCTGGCCAAAGGCACAGCAACAATTTTGGGGTATCTGGAAGTCTGAAGGCGCCATCAGTCTGCTGATGCACTCGCCTCACAGGTACAGATTGACCTGCTGGCGGCACCATACTCCCGCTTCTCTAATTTTAAAATGCTATCTTACAAAGGTACTCAGATATGGGGTTGCAGAGAGTGCTCAATGGGCTGACTCTGTGTATGGCTCCCCAGGAGTAACTCCCAAGCAGAGAGTAGGAAGATCTGAGCACCAATGAGTGTGGCTCAAAAATAAAAAGAGAGTCCCATTTATCTATCTCTGTTTTCACTTGCTCAGCCAGTGGCGTGACATCTTTGAAGATACCATTAGCTTCAATGTCATGGAGGGTTTTGCCAACTTTGCCTTCAATGTACCTTATGGATTCTGGTCTGATGTTGAGGTCAAGCAAGTGAAAACAGATAGATAAATGGGACTATCTTAAACTAAGAAGCTTCTGCACCTCAAAAGAAACAGTGACCAAAATACAAAGACATTCTACAGAATGGGAAAGGATATTCGCCGAATACACAACTGACAAGGGGTTGATATCAAGGATATATAAAATACTTGTTGAACTCCACAAGAAGAAAACATCCAACCCCATAAAAAAATGGGGCAATGAAATGAACAGAAACTTTCTCCAAGAAGAAATCCGAATGGCAAAAAGGCACATGAGGAAATGCTCTACATCATTAATCATCAGGGAGATGCAGATCAAAACCACAATGAGATACCATCTCACACCTCAGTGACTGGCCCACATCCAAAAGAACAAAAGCAACCGATGCTGGCGCAGATGTGGCGAGAAAGGGTCACTCCTTCACTGTTGGTGGGAATGCCGACTCGTTCAGCCTTTTTGGAAAACAGTATGGACGATTCTCAAAAAATTAGAAAGTGAACTCTCATTTGACCCAGCAAAACCACTCCTGGGAATATATCCCAGAGAGGCAAAAATGTATAGTCAAAGTGACATCTGCACTTGTTTGTTCATTGCAGCACTCTTTATAATAGCCAGATTCTGGAAAAAACCTGAGTGCCCAAGAACAGATGACTGGTTAAAAAAACTTTGGTACATCTACACAATGGAGTACTATGTAGCTGTTAGAAAAGATGAAGTCATGAAATTTACATATAAGTGGTACTACATGGAAAGTATCATGCTAAGCGAAATGAGTCAGAAAGAGAGGGATAGACATAAAAAGTTTGCATTCATCTGGGGAACATAAAGTGACAAAATAGGAGATTAATATCCAAGAATAGCCGAGATCAGTACCAGGAGGATTACTCCATGGCTTAGAGGCCAGCCGGGCATTCCAGGGGAAAGGGCAGCTCAGATAGAGAAGGGAGCACCAAATAAAGGGTGTTTGGAGGATTCTCCCAGGATGGGAGATGCATGTTGAAAGTAGACTATGGACCGAACATGATTGCCACTTAATGCTTCTTTTGCAAACCACAACACCCAAAAGGAGAGAGAGAACAAAAGGGAATGCCCTGCCACAGAGGCAGGGTGGGATGGGGGGATGGGGGTGGGAGGGATACTGGGATTAGTGGTGGTGGAAAATGGGCACTGGTGGAGGGATGGGTATTTGATCATTGTATAATTGAAACCCAAGCACAAAAATTTGTAAGTCTACAACTGTACCTCATGGTGTTTCACTAATAAAAATTAATAAAAAATAAAAAGGTATTTGGGTCTGGGTTCTTCCCACCCCCAATAAACTTAGGGAATTCTCCAAAGGTATCATTTTTTAAAAAGCATTCTTTCAAAAATAGTTTTGCCAAATCAGGCATTAAGAAAAGAAACACCTTGAAAAGTTTTTACACTTGACCAGACTTTTTAAAAAAGCTGGAAAGACAGTACCGGGATAATACAGGCGTAAGGTGTTTGCTTTGCTGTGACTGACCCTGATTTGAATCTCTAGCACTGCTTTACGGTACCCTC